AAAGAGGCCCCCTACACTATATATAATTTTCAGGCCACTTAAGACCTGGATCCACCCCTACTTATCCTGGAGAACTTATTTTTGAAAGAAACATACTTCCTGAATACCTAAGGGTGATGAATATGATAGACATAGCCCTCTCTCTTGGAGATAACAGGCTTCTTGAAAAGGTCACTATGATACAAGGAAGCTCAAGTGTGACACTGTCATGGAGTAGAGTTTTATGGGAGCTGGAAGCCCTCCCAACGAAGTGCACTTAAACCCGACGGAGCTAGGAGAGGCAAAGGCAATCCAGGCAAAGGTAGGACCATGCGCAACAGCTTGGTGATAAACAAGTGTGGATCCTTCAGAAGCTCAGCGTGGCTCAGTTGTGAGAATCAGGGAAAGTGAGGCAAGTTGAAGCTTGTGAGGCGACCAGGCCTGACCCTGGAGGGGGCAGAATGTGAGATGAAAGGTTCTGTCTGAAAAGGCAGTGGAAGTGATTTGACGGTTGTAGACAGAGGATGACCTGATGAAGTTTGTGTTGTTGGGCAATCTACTTCCATAGTGATACCACCTCGGAAACCCAAGGAGGGGTTGCTATGGGTCAGAGCTGACTCCACGGCTTTAGACGGTTATTCTGTGTATATTGTAGAAAAGGGAAAAGAATGCACTAGGGAAAAAACTAGAAAATGAGGAGAGGAACTTCAGTTACAATTGAGACAAAGAGAATAGTCAGAAATGAAGTGGGAATTCAAAGCTATTTAAAGAATATAGGAGTCCAAGCCTTGTGAGTGGCTATGGTCATGGAAGTAAGAGAAATGGGGGCTAAATGTAATGCCCACGCTCCAACAAATGGGTGGAAGAGGTGAACGACTGTGCAGCTGTAGAAAGCCTGGTGTGGGGTGGGGTGAAGGTGCGGAAAGAAGAAAAAGAGAAATCCAGAGTTTGGTTTTGAGCAGGTTGAGTTCTATGTGCCAGTGAGAAAACCCGATGGAGATTTTCTAGGTGGCTTCATGAAACATTCTTGAACTTGAGGATACAAATCTTAGCCCAGCAAAATGGCACGCTGCTGATACCGCCTCAGAAACCCAAGGAGGGGTCACTATGACTCGGATCCAACTCCACAGCAGCGCATTTGGGTTTTTTTTGGTTTACTGTAAGTCTTGGACTTTTGAGGTCTCTGTCAAATCCTTGAAACTATGCATGTTAAATCTGCGAATGACAGGGCCCATTGTAGAATAAAGCAGAAGACTGATAGAAAAGAGGCTTTCATTTATTACATTCATTTAATACATTAAGTTATCTGGTGTGGGGTTATAAATAGGATGCCTAGATAACATCTGGAAATAGAAACAATTCCTGACATTATTGTTGTTACTTACTGTCGATTCGGACCCCACTCCTAGCGACCCCTCCTTGGGTTTCTGAGGCAGTATTACTACAGAAGTAGATTGCTCCTTCTTCCTTCCCGGAGTGGCTGATGGGTTTGAACTGCCAACCTTCTGGTTAAGAGTCAAATCACTTAGGCACTGTACCACCACAGCTCCTTTTATCTGCGTGTGTATCTCATATATGCATGTGTGTGTGTATGAGAGAGAGAGAGAGAGAGAAAAAAAAAACCAAACTCACTGCCATGGAGTCAATTCGACTCATAGTGACCCCTCCATGGGTTTCCGAGGTGGTATCTCTATGTAAGTAGATTGCCCAATCTTCCTTCTGAGGAGTGGCTGGTAGGTTTGAACTGCCAGCCTTCTGGTTACCAGTCAAATGCCTTAGTACTACGCCACCAGAGCTCCTTGTGATGTAGATATAGATATGTTGTTGTTGTTGTTGTTTGCCGTCGAGTCGGCCCCGACTCATAGCGACCCCTCCTTGGGTTTCCTAGGCAGTATCACTACGGTTAGCAGTCAAGTGCCTGAGCCACTATGCTACCAGATATAGATATAGGTTATATATATATATATATATATATATACTCACAATGATCGTTCATCTTTTTACCCAAAATGTCATTATATAGCTGAGTAACCCATCTAATTCATCAGATTTAGCTATACTGAGTTGATACCATTTCCCAAAATTCAACCAATTTTCACATAAAAAGATGTGTCACCACCGAGGCTACATAAGGATATATGCCACAGGACTAGAAGGTGCATGAACTTGTTATTTATAGTATCATTAGCTTTTCTCTCATTAGCATCACTGAAAAGACTCATAGTTACTTGTGGAATATAATGGTTTAAGAGCATAATAGTCCAAATAATTTTGAAAAAGAACAAAGTTGAAGGACTTAGACTTTCTGATTTCAAAACTTATTATAAAGCTACAGGAATTAACTTTGTGATATTGGCAGAAGAACAGAATTGATGATCCAGAATAAACCCTTGTATTTATGGTCAATTAATTTTCCACAAAGGTGCTGAGGCAATTGAACACTTGGCAGAAGCATCTTTTTCAATAAATGGCTATGACATAATTAGAGCTGCACACAAAATGATGTATTTATACTCTTACCTTACACAGACACAAAAAATAAGTCAAAATGGACAATAGGCCTAAAGTTAAAGCCAAAACTACAGAACTCTTAGAAGGAAACATAGGCATAAACCTCCATGACTGGATTAGGAAAAGATTTCTTAGGACATCAAAAGAACAAGCAGTAGAAGGAAAAGAGCCTGAAAAATTGAACTGTATCAAAACTAGAAACTTTTGTTCTTAAAAGGACACCAAAAAACAGGCCAACAGAAGAAGAGAAAATACTTTCAAATTATATATGTAATAAAGAGCTGTGCTTACAATATATAAAGAACTTGCACAAATGAATAAGACCACTGATCCAGTTTAAAAATTTAAATAAATATTTTACCAAAGAAGATACATAAATGGCCAATAAGCACATGAAATAAGGCACATCATTAGTGTTCAGGAAAATTAAAATTGAAACTACAATGAGGTATATCACTTCATACCTATTTAAAAAAAAAAGACAAACAAGAACAAGTAAGGATATGGAGGGAAAATGGAACACACATCCATTTCTGGTGTGAATATAAAGTGATGCAGTCATTTTTGGAAAATAGTTTGGCAGTTTCTTAAAAAGTGAAACATAAATTGACCATACCACACAGCAATTCCACTCCTAGGTAACTACCAAGGTGAATGAAAACATGACCATACAAAGATGTTTAAGCAAATGCTTATAGCAGCATTATTTATAATAGCCAATGCAAAACAAAATGTTGTAAACTATTCATGTCATGATATATAAAATACACATATTTCTATGCATACATATTCTAATAGATATTTATAATCTGTATACTAACATGAAACTATATTTATGATATCCAGTAAGGTGTTTATCAGTCATACCATTAAAATATGTAAATATATACACACATATACATATATCTGTACACCTTCTCCTCACTTATCGACTATCTCATTTCCCAACATTATTCATTTATGACAATAGTGAAAAATCTAGTATCTGATTATTTTACATTAATCATTACAAGGAACACTGAGGTGTGAAATGAGAGTAACACTGGCTTTGATGGCTAAGGTATAGTGTCAACTTGGCTGGACCATGATTCTCAGTGGTTTGACAGCTATGTAATGCTGTAAGTTGGCAATTACATAATGATGTAGTTGTCCTCCATTTTGTGATCTGATGTGGTCATCCTCCATTTTCATGTAACAACTGGTCTTTGGTACCTAACCATGTAGGTAAGTGAGGAGAGAGTGGTGTGGATGTGTGTGCATGTAGAATTTTTTCCATTTTCAGCTAAGATACAAGTCTGAGTTCAAATTATAGATCTACCTTTGGCTCTATGACCCTGGGATAGTTACCTAACCACTCTGAGTTGGTACTAGTAAAATGAGAGTAATACACATCTTAAGGATTGTAGGATGAAATGAAATAAAACATGTAAAATGCTTAATACTAGGGAGCTCTGGTAGCATAGTGCCTAAGGCATTTGACTGCTAACCAGAAGGCTGGTGGTTCCAACCCACCAGGCACTCCTCGGAAGGAAGATGGGGCAATCTACTTCCATAGTGATACTGCCTCGGAAACCCAAGGAGGTCACTATGAGTCAGATCCAACTCAATGGGAGTGGGTTTGGTTTGGTTTTGGTTTAGGATGGCACAGTGTCAGTCCTTAATAAATAGTAATCAATGTTATTATTTGTCTCTCTTGAGTTTTATTCACAAATCTAGTTTCTTACTAATATACACATTGGGGAGAAGGAAACCATTTTGTGCAGTAGAAAAAGCTAGTTCTGTACTTCTAGCTGTCTGACTTTGAATTTTTCACTTAATTTCTTGAGCCTCAGTTGCCAAAAATCTACAAAGTGAGGATAATGTTACTTATCTGACAGGACTATTACTGTGATTAGGAAAATTATATTAAAATGCTTTGTAAACTGCAAAATACAATAAAAATATAAAGTTGCCAAGTTCTTAGGGTCTTCTGTCCCCACAGTACCCCCCACACTATGTTTATAGAAGAATCCGAGTAACTACCCCTAAAGTGATGTGGTATTGTTTCTCAACTCCTGACACTACAATGAAAGAATCTTTACATGGCCATGGTGGTGCTGGTGGCAAGGCATTTTCCAAATAAATATTACTCCCGTTTGAATACAAAGTCAGGGAAACTGTGTTACTCCATTGCTGCACCCTCCCAGCCTGTGCTCGTGAGTTATCAGGCTCGGCTAAATATGGCCCTGGCCAGTGTGTCAATAATCCGCACTGGTTCTGAGACCTCCACCCACCACCGATGTGACATTGTTTGTGTTCAAATGTCTAGCTGACGTCTGATGCTTAAAACAGCCTATGCCCTCACCCCTCTCTGCATTGTCACAACCCCGTATCACCACTCTTAAAAGGCTATCGCAGCCACTCCTCGCACCAGTTGCTGGCCAGCCTGCCCCGTTGCCTCCCTGCCTGCTTCTGGCTGCCTTGGATGCCTGGTTCTTCAAGCTCTTTGTGGGTCTGACAAAGCAGGGACCATGTCTACCTTTGGTTACCGAAGAGGACTTAGCAAATACGAGTCCATCGATGAGGATGAACTCCTCGCCTCTCTGTCAGCTGAGGAGCTGAAGGAGCTAGAAAGGGAGTTGGAAGACATTGAACCTGATCATAGCCTTCCTGTGGGGCTAAGGCAAAAGAGTCTGACAGAGAAAACTCCCACGGGGAACTTCAGCCGAGAGGCACTGATGGCCTATTGGGAAAAGGAGTCCCAAAAACTCTTGGAGAAGGAGAGGCTGGGGGAGTGTGGAAAGGTAGGCTCTTGGGACTTTTCCTTGGCTGCTCTCCCTGTCCACCCCCCAAACCCAACACCTCTTTTTTCTCTAACTCTTTAGTCCTCATCACTTTTCCTTTCTAGAACACATTTACACCTGCTACTGAAACTTTCTCAGGCTGAAACAGTCATGTAATTTCTGGGGCCACACAGGGATCACAATGTGTAAAATGCTTAGCAGAGGTTCTTTGATTGACTAAAAAGGGAACATTCAAGGGGAAAAGAATTCACAACTGAGGTACAGGGTTCGATATTTTATTAGACATAAGTCTAACTGAAGTTATAAATTGGCGACGTGTCTTAATGTCTGTATCTAATGTGTGGTTTCTTTTCCTATCAAGACAAAAATAGGAACTATGGTGGCTTTGATTGTGATGGTAGCTACAGTGAAAATAACTTTTTTTTATCCAACACAAGAAATGCATGTGTGGGGAGATCATGGTCCCGAGTGTCAGGGGGCCTTACTTCTAGCCCTGGCTCTACCATTAAGTTGTTCAAACTTGAATAGAGAGTCACGTCTGCAATGATTTTGTTTCCCACCTGCCTTTATCCACAAATGTAGTTTCTAATATCTATGATGAGAAGAAGGAAACTGTTTTGTGCCTCTGTTCATTGAGGGAGTTAAATCTAGTGTTTCTTTTGTAAATCAAGAACTCTTTTATTATTTTGATAAAAGTTATGGGTCCTCTCAATTGTGCATGCGGATACACATGTTTTTGCACAGAATTTCAAGATGATGACACATTAAGCAACTGCATAGACAGTCCCTAAGATTCCTCCCTACTTTCTGAGGCCAGGAAATGTGCTTATATTAGAGGTCAGGTCAATTAAGCTCTCGTTCACTGCCCAGCAAATGTTTCTTTGGATTTGCCAAATGAGTCATAGTAAAAAGACTATGTTCTGGGAAAACAGTCATGGCAATAAGAACATGAATGTAACAAAGAAATGCCTGAATTTGTAGAAGAACGTAAGAGCAACTGTTTAAAACCTCTGCATTCCATCCAAATCTTCTAAAATCAAAACGGCCTGAAGCCAATGGCAAGCCTTCCATGGTACTAATCTGGGAGCTGTTAGATGATCTTGATGATAGGGTATGTGGGCTCCATTTGCAGCAAGATATGTCTGAGCTTTGTCCATGTCAATCATTGCAGGAAGGGCCACTGGGATCAGGCCAAGGTCTGCCAAGGCCACAGTGGCCGCTTGTATCGAGGGGCTGGGGTGGAGGTGAGAAGGAAGGACACACATGACAGCCCAGGATCTGGGCCAGCCAATTCCTCACAACCATATTTTTCAGGGATCTTATTCCTGATGTGGGAATTAGTATCAAAAGTTTGATAAAATCTATAAAATATAATGGAATTTTACAAACAATTATTAAAAAATGTACTTAATGAAAAGAGTAAAATGGCCTCCGAATACCCAGGGCTGCAGCCACTGCAGCTATCCCCCAACAAAGGCATTTTAATGTCATTGTGTCATGCCATGGTGGGAAACGATGGGCAAAGGGTATTGTGAGCTATGGATGGAACTCACCCAACCCCTGCCAAAGCTTTCGTTGATCCCTGCCAATGGCTTATCAGCTCAATTAGAGAGGCGGCCGTGTTGATGAACTTTGATTCCTGTCTCAGCTAGTTAACTTTTCTCTCACTTCACTTTCCTCCTGGCCATCTGTCTGCAGGCAAGAGTGCTGAGCAGAAGCTTGCCGGTGGAGAGTGTAAATCCATTCCCACCACAGGGGAAAAACTCAGAGCAGCTGGTGGGGATGGGAGATGCAGGAGCACCCCCGAACCTTAAAAACAGCAGAGTGGACCAGGAGAAGGAGTCGGAGGACTCTGTTACAGGCAGTCCCGGGGCTACGAACAACATCCACTCCTAACGGTGGCTTTAAGTCTTTAAGTGTCATTTGTAGGTGAGGCAGAACAGGTGCACACAGTTCCTATTTAGCCTTACTTTAGTGCAACAAAAAGCTCAGAGTCTTGCTGATGATTTAAAAGCTGCATGTGCAACAAATGGAGGTGACTGATGAAGAATTTGTTGTGAGTAGGGGTTGGTTCAGTCCTCTCAAAATGAGGGCAAATTTACATAACATTGAAGAACAAGTAGGAGCAGTCCTTAAGTAAGTTGAGTATTAGTTCCCAAGGACTGCTTGTGTAAGGGTACCAGCTCTGGGATTGCTGTTAGTTGCCGGTGAGTGATTTCGACTCAAGGTGACCCCATGCGTGCAGAACGGAACTGCTCCCTAGGGTTGTCAAGGCTGTGCCCTTTCAGGTCACCAAGTCTTCTGAGGTGCTCTGGATGAGTTCTTTGGGCTGCCAAACTTCAGTTGTATAAACTTAAACATTCGCCCCATCACACCAGTACTGTGCAGACTTATGAAAATTACGCTCAGTACCTGTTGAACGGCAGCCTTCTGCCCACTTGGATTTACACAAACATATGCTGCGTTAGTACAGAAACGGGCAGTAGGCACTCACGGATCCAGTTTCCCTAGCTTGAGAACCTGCTGGATACCAGGTACCAGATGAATTCACTCAGAGTATCTTGTTTAATTCTAACCTTGATGCAGATCACATACGGAAAGTGGTAAAGGTTTACAAATGCATTTGAGATTAACAGCTTACAGGTCGAGCTAAAATTCAAACAAAGCTCTGCTGGCACAAAGACCCTGTTCTCAAAATGTAGGCACCTGCTAGAAGCATCAACATCTCCCAGCAGCTTCTTAATGCCATAGATTCTAGGTCCCCACCCCAGACCTACTGAATAAGGAATTGTGGGGGTGAGGCCTAGCGATTCATCCTTTAACAAGCCCTCCAGGTGATTATGATTCAGGCTGAGGTTAGTCCCTGGGTGGTGTAAAGAGTTAACAAGCTCAGCTGCCAACCTAAAGGTTCGTGGTTCACATCTACTCAGAGGAAGTGCAGAAGACAGGCCTGGCAATCTCCTTCTGAAAGTCAGCCATTGAAAACCCTGTGGAGCACAGTTCTACTCTGATGCACATGGGGTCACCACGAGTCAGAGTCAACTCTACAGCAACTGTTGTAAAGTTTGAGAACCAATGAACTGTACCAGAGAGGGTTAGTGATTTGTCTAAAGTCAACCAGCTCTTTATGGGAAGAACCAGAACCAGAACCGAAAACTAAGCATTTTGCCTCCCTGTTCGTGTAATGATGCCTGGGAGGAGATCATGAGAAAAGGCTGGCCACCTCCTCCTCATTGCCTTAATCATCCCCAAAGGGTATCAACATCCACTGTCTCCCTGTTCAGCCCTCCTCACCTCCTCATTCCACTGCTACCTTCCCACCCCCATTCTCACAAGGATCAGAGTTAACTCCAGAGCAGTGGCATACAGGCAACCTGTCATAGCATAGTCAGTCCCAGTGCCAGACCAACATGCAAAGTAGACAATGTTTGTGTTTTGCATCCTCCTACCTTCCCTATCAGGGCATCTTTGTCCCTTCTAATGTCCTTTGTGCAGTGTCTCCAGCTAGGGTGTCTAACCATCTCAGACAGTCCAGGATTGTCTAGTTTTAGAATTAAAAATCCCATCATCCTGGGAAATCTTAGTCCTGGGAAAACCAGGATGGTTGGTCACCTTCCCTCCATCCAGTCCTATCAGGCCTCTCTCCTGGGCCTTGTCCTGACTCTCAGCTACTGTTAAGCAGCGACAATTTAGAGCAGCTGTTTAACAAACAATCAAATACTGATTGAGCCCCTACTATGTGTTAAGGACTGTGCCAGGTGAGCAAAAAAGAAATCGTGCCTGCCCTCCCTAAAGGCAAAATGACAATAAAGCTTAATAATTTCTTAATTAGGGGAAGTGCAACGCTCTAGGAGCACATGACAAAGGTAGTTGGAGGGGGTGTCAAAGAAGGCCTCCTGTAAGACATGTGTCATTTACATGTTACATGATAACAGTATCAGATGTAATATTTCCAGGTCCATTTTTTCGTATTGTGGTAAACATATATATGAAACAAAATACCTGCCATTCCAACATTCTTCACATGTACAATCCAACGACCTTGAGTTCATCATGTTATGCAACTTCTATTTTGAAAGGAAAACATCTCCTCTTGACAAAGCCTGAAAGTCTTTAAAGAACCAAAGAACTAAAGGGGTAAAGATAGAATAGTGACATGAGAGGTGGTACATCCTGGATGTAGGTCCCTTTCCTCTAAATACTGAAACAGCTGTGTGTGTGTACACATACAGCTGTGACAGGCTAGAATTATAAATAGGTACACAAAATCCAAGCTGCACTGAGCACATTAGCAAAAAAACAAGGCTCCAGGAATTGACAGAATACCCACCGAGATGTTTCACCAAACAGATCCAATGCTGGAAGCGCTTGCTCATCTATGCCAAGAAATTTGGAAGGCAGCTACCTGGCCAACCGACTGAAAGAAATCCATATTTGCTCCCATTCCAAAGAAAGGTGAGCCAACAGAATGTGGAATGATCAACAATATCATCTATATTACACTTAAGTAAAATTTTGCTGAAGATATTTCAAAAACAGTTTGCTACGTAGCAATGCATCAACAGAGAACTATCAGAAATTCAAGTTGGATTCAGAAGAGGAGTTGGAAGAAGGGATGTCATTGCTGATATCAGATGGATCTTGACTGATAGCAAAGAACACCAGAAAGATGTTTTATTGACTGTGCCAAGGCATTTGACTGTGTGGATCATAACAAATATGGATAACATCGTGAAGAATGAGAATTCCAGAACACTTAATTGTGCTCATGTGAAACCTGTATATAGACCAACAGGCAGTCATTCAAACAAAAGAAGGGGATAACTGCATGGTTTAAAATCAGGAAAAGTGTGTGTCAGGGTTGTATCCTTTCATCATACTTATTCAATCAGTATGCTGAGCAAACAGTACAAGAAGCTGTAATATATGAAGATGAACACAGCATCAGGACTGGAGAAAGACTCATTAACAACCTATAATGTGCAGATGGCACGACTTTGCTGAAAGTGAAGAGGACCTGAAGCACATACTGATGAAGATCAAAGACTACAGTCTTCAGCATGGATTATACCTCAACATAAAGAGTACAAAAATCCTCACAACTGGACCAATAAGCAACATCAAGATAAACAGAAAATACGGAAGTTGTCAAGGATCTCATTTTACTTAGATCCACAATCAACATCCATGGAAGCAGCAGTCAAGAAATCATATGACATAGTGCATTGGACAAATCTACAAAAAAAAAAAAAATCCATTTAAAGTGTTCAAAAGCAAAGATGGCACTTTGAAGACTAAAGGGCACCTGACCTAAGCTATGGCATTTTCAGTTGCCTTTTATGCAGGTAAAAGGTAGACAATGAATAAGAAAGACTGAAGAACTGATGTATTTAAATTATGGTGTTGGGGAAGAATCTTGAACATACCATGAACTGCCAGAAGAATAAACAAATCTGTCTTGGAGGAAGTACAGCCAGAATGCTCCTTAGAAGAAGACTGGCAAGATTTTGTCTTATGTCCACAAGGGACCAGTCCCTGGAGAAGGACATCATGTTTGGTAAAATACAGCCAGTGAAAAAAAGGAACAACGAGATGGATCGATAAAGTGGCTGCCACAATGAGCTCAAACACATAATGATTTCACAATGACGCAGGACCAGCAGTCTTTTGTTCTGTTGGACAGAAGGTTGCAATGAGTAGGAACTGACTCAAGGGCACCTAACAACAATATACAAAGGGACTTGGAGTAGGGTAGGTGTGAGAAAAGTATATTCTACAATTCTTTCCTTCCTCCAGTTAATCCATGTACTCTATTGTTGGGTATTGGACATTTCCTCTCTCTCTCCTCATATATGCCAGGAAGCTTGGTGCTAGAGCCACACCCTTTCTCTCATGTTTTTCGGGTATGACTTGCAATTTCTTTCTCTCTCAGTCTCTCCCTATATCTTTCTCCCTGTCTGTCTCTCTCTCTGTCTCTTTTTTTCTCTCTCAACCACCCACCCACACACACACACACACACACACACACTCATACATCGAATATCCCTCGCCTTCTAGGTCCTAAGGAAGTGAGTACAAATTAAGACTAGACAACCCATCCCAGGAGAGGCTGACCCCTTCCCAGGCCATCACTTGGTGCCTGCCACTCCAAACAAGTGGATGAACAGAGGCTATTTTGTGATAGCAACTGGACAAACGAACCTGGAAGCAAGACACTCTGTTTCCCAGAGCTTGTTCCACATGCCTTGGGCAGCAGGAGCCTCGAGGTCAAGAACCTCTGCCTACACAGATGGAAGAAATGGGGCTTGGGGGACAAGCAATGGTGCTAGGGTTTGAGAGAGGATGAACAGAAAGGGCTAAAAAGATAGCAGAAGGAAAAGTCAGTTGTTTCCAGACAGGACTTATCTTTTATCAGAAAAGTTAGCAAGGAAAAGAGAAAGGAGGATGGAGGCACGTGGGCTTCTTTGTACAAAGTCTGTGAACAGGAAAGACGAAGACAGGATGAAATTGTGTTGGCCGAGAGCCCTTCAAAATTGATACGTGCTAAATAATTTAAGACCGTCAAGATGAGGCAACAACTTACTACGAGATTTTCTACTGTTCTCTGCTGTCCCACATTAGTTAGAATCTAATAGGTGCCAAGAGGGATTCTCTTTCCTACCTGGTCTTCTCATTTGAAAATCTGTCTCATTTGGCCCAGCACTAGCTTGGCTTTCAAATTGAGCTGCTGGAAAGGGTGACCTGAATGTTTTTCTGCACAGAGCTGCGTTCTGATCTCCCGCTGTCCTGAGCAGCGGCCCTGCCCCCCGGGCTTTCCTTCCCCAGTTTGGGGCCAGGCACTGCAGCATCTGTCAGATGGGGTGGGGTCTGTGAGCCCTTGGGCCACGCTGCCACCCAGAGACAGAGGAACGCTGGAAGTGCACAGGGTGCCCCTACCTCAGCCTCGGCCAAGGCAAGCTGGGCAGAGAGCACTTGACTCCTGTCACATCTGCTGCTCAAGGCAAATTTGGCAAGAATTTTTGAACAATTCAAAAGAGAACTCAATAATATGCTGTGTGTCTTCGTTGCCATTTGTTTGGGATGGAGAAATAAGGACAGAGGGTGATTACAGAAGGGAAGTTTGGGTTTGCTAAATTGTAAGTAGACTGGGAGTCAAACAGTTTGGGTTAGGTATTAAAACCCAAAACCAAAACCAGGTCAGATGCCACTGAGTTAATTTTGACTGAAGCCAACCCCATGTGTTTCAGGGCAGACTCTACATTCCAGAGGGTTTTCATGGCTGTGACCTTTTGGAAACAGATCTCCAGGCCTTTCTTCCAAGGGACCTCTGTGTGGGTTGGAACTGCCAGTCTTGTGGAGAGTGGTTCAGTGCTTAACCACCTGCACCACCAGGTAGCCAAGAGAATGACAAACTTACCAAGGAGCTTCCGAAGTTCTGACTGACTTGCTCAAATTGGCAAAATGATGCTATACTTTCACTCAGTAAACTGAATTCTGGATATTTAGACTCTAAAAATGGTGCCCTGGTTATGTGCTGGGCTGCTAACCAAAATGTTGGTGGTTTGAACCTACTCCATGGGAGAGAGATGTGGCAGTCTGCTTCCATAAAGATTACAGCCTTGGAAACCCTACATGGCAATTCTACTCTGTCCTACCGGGTTTCTGTGAGTCGCAGTTGACTCTATGGTTCACAACAACAGCATTCTCTGAAAAAAAAGAAAGAAAGGAAGACATGTTAGTCAAGAAATGTGTTGCAGGATATACAACAAAATGTTAACACTGGTCACCTGAGCTGGTGAGATCAGAAGCAGGAGATCATGAACGTCTTCTGTTATATGCTTCCCTACCGTGCGCTATGTTTGTAAACTTAAAAAATGCACTTGGAAATCAATTTAATGATGTCTACCATACTGTTTAGGTTGCTGAAGAAGACAAAGGAGAGAGCGAGGAAGACCTTATCTTTACTGAAAGTAACAGTGAGTTTTCTGAGGAGGTCTATACGGAAGAGGAAGAGTCACAGGAGGACGAGGAGGAAGAAGACAGTGATGGAGAGGAAAGAGCCAACCAAACTGCAAAAGGGATCAATGGAGCTGTAAATTACGATAGTGGCGATCCAGACAACACCAAGCCAAAGACATTTAAAAGTCAGATAGAAAACATAAACTTGACCAATGGCCACAGTGTTAGGAACACCGAGTCACCGGCTGCCATTCACCCTTGTGGGAATCCTACAGTTATCGAGGATGCTTTGGAAAAGATTAAAAACAATGACCCTGACACCCTCGAAGTCAATTTGAATAATATAGAGAACATCACGACGCAGACTCTCACCCGCTTTGCAGAAGCTCTCAAGGGCAACACGGTGGTGAAGACCTTCAGCCTGGCCAACACCCACGCCGATGACAGTGCGGCCGTGGCCATTGCGGAAATGCTCAAGGTCAACGAGCACATCACCAGCGTCAATATCGAGTCCAACTTCATCACGGGGAAGGGGATCCTGGCCATCATGAGAGCTCTGGAGCGCAACACGGCGCTCACCGAGCTGCGCTTCCACAACCAGCGGCACATCCTGGGCAGCCAGGTGGAGATGGAGCTCGTCAAGCTGCTCAAGGAGAACACCACGCTGCTGCGGCTGGGCTACCACTTCGAGCTCCCAGGGCCCAGGATGAGCATGACGAGCATCTTGACGAGGAATATGGACAAACAGAGGCAAAAGCGGATGCAGGAGCAGAAACAGCAGGAGGGAGGCGACGCGGGAGCCACCCTTAGGACCAAAGTCTGGCAAAGAGGAACTCCTGGCTCCTCCCCCTACGCCTCTCCCAGGCACTCGCCGTGGTCGTCCCCGAAGCTCGCCAAGAAGGTCCCGACTGTGAGGAGCCGGCCTCAGT